GAGAAAAAAATATATGGCTGTCCCTCCACAAGGAGAAGGCAGCATAGAAAAAAAAAAAAAAAAAAAAAGAATGTTCTGGACTCATGTGAAATCTTTAAACTGGGGTGGCTGTCAACATGATGAAATTGATGTCAGCCTTACCTCCTCCTTTTCCTTTAGATGGGTTGACTCCATGACCCCAACTCCAAAATGCGGTGTAGACAATTGTGGGCCCACTTCGCACTCTTCACACACCAAATACCACCAGCCCCGCTGAAACATATGTTGCCCCACCAACAAACCACCCGCCCCTCCCTCACTCTCCCTCTCCCCCTTCCGCCCCTACACCTCGCCACTTTCTTTTTTTATTTTTTTTAAATACGAAATAGCCCTTGTGTAAGCGAGGTATCCTGGCGGCGGTAAGAGAACCGTCAGAATTGCGGTCTTATCTGTCGGGGTGCTCCATCTATTGGTGGGTAGTGGCACCTGCTGGAAACCGGGTCCAGCGTCCCATTGGTACATCTTGTACATCTCGCCACTTCTATTTTAGCCTTAGGGTCACAGTATTTATGGTGTAATGTATATCCAGTGTGCACACACACAAGCACAGATCAGTAGCCTAGGGGGAATCCATCGCAATGGAGGCTGCAGTTTCACACTGTTAGGCACTGCAAGGGGGTAGATGCAGCAACCTGTGGAAAGAAAGAACCAAAGCAGATGCAACACTGAGTTGAAAGAAAAACAAATCCAGCCGCCTAGCTCAGTTGGTAAGGCACGCAAGTGGCATTCAGGAGGTCTTGGGGTCAATACCCATTGGCCGCATGCACCTTCCTGGGTAAGCTTGGCGCCCACCACCTAGAGATATGCCGTTGGTCTCCCCAAGTGACATTGAGCAGAGACTGCTAATGTTCATAGGGCGAGGGGACCGGAGGGGAGGCACAATGACTGGCCCATCGGGGAAGCTCGGTCCCGATGCTACCGGCTGACCCCTGGCTGGTATCGCCCACATGCTGTAGCAGGTATCGCACCTGCTGGTGGGTGCAGCTCCCGCATGTTCCCTCATTGGAAGCACGGATGTGCGGAGGCTTGAGCACGGATGTGGCTGCTACGGGGTTCCCCGTAATACTATAATGACAATTAAAAAGGCCTGAAAGGCCGTCCTGTCCAGATTTGACAGGTAATTGAATTGGTTAGTCTTTTTTTTTTTTTTAAACAAGGTACGTGTAACACTTTTGAGACTAAGAAAGTAATAAAATCAGTACATACTACATACCTTTTTAAAGGCTTTCATTTCTTTTTGTAATGATCTTTCCACAGCTTCACCTACGGAAACCTTAGGGATGCACTCACACTAGGCCCTCAAAATCGCAAAATCCCAAAACGAGTGGCCAGATCTAGTCCTTCCTTTACAAGGACTCGACCTGGCCGCTCATTTTGTGATTTTGCCAGTTTGTTACGATACGACTTTTCTTCTTCCTCTAAATGATAAGGTTCGGTAAACTTCTTTTTTTTTTTTCTTTTTTTTTTTTTTGGGTACACTTCTCACAGCCTCCACATCGGCAAACCGCCAGCATCACCACAATCTGTAGCTATTATATACGCGGGGGTCACAAAAATGAGTTATACTTGCACTATGGGCCAAGATACAGTTTTGAATTGCAGTTCGGACAATGTATACAACCCAGCTTTCTGGCCAGGTACGATGCCCGAAGTGCAATTGCAAACTGTATCGTGCCCCATAGTGCAATTATAACTCCCTTTTTTTGTGACTCTACTGAAGTTACCCCTATTATCTTATATATAGAGTGCACCATGTGGTCAACTCTTTTTGTCTTCTTCTTTTTTTATTTTCCCCTGAAGTGATCCCCTACTATGATGCTCCTCCCATTGGTGGGGAGCCTCACCTGCTGGAAACTGGGTGCAGCGTCCCTTGCGTCAATCGTTTACAAAACATTCAGATGCAAGAGTAATGATGCTCTAGATTTGTAGATGCCGGAAGGCGACATGTGTTCAATCCCGGAGCACCCATTGGTGGCTCTCTGCAATCAGAGACCTCCACCTGGGTATTAATGGTTCCAATCTACTCATGGGCAGCAACACCTGTTGCCAACCAGGGTCACTCTGTTAGATGTACACCAAATTTCCTAGAGGTGATATCGGTCACGTATGTAGTCACAGCACACGATCTTTGTGAGCAAGCTTTGCAGGGGAATAGAGGTGTAGGTGGAT